ACACACACACACACACATCATGGATACTGAGAACTGAACTTGGATCTTGGAAGAGCAGCAAGTGCTTTTATCCACAGAGCCTTCTCTCCAGCCAGGACCTCCATTTCCATGAGACCACCCTGGGCTTTATAGCAGGTGACTATCTGCAGAGCCATCTCACCAGCCCAAAAGACTTCTTTGGAGATGAGGGCAGGCCTAGAACTCAAAGACCTGTCTACCTCCCTTTTGAGTGCCACCATGCCCAGCCACCATGCTGTTTGTATCATGATCCTATCTCAAAAATAAAAAATCAGAATGGAAAGGTTATAGGGAACTAGAAGCATCTACTGGACTCTGCTCCTCTTTTAAAGTATTTGTGTGTGTGTGTGTGTATGTGTGTATGTGTGCACCCTTTAGATTTAATGTACACCTATGCATATAGAAGCCTGTAGAGGCCAGAAGGTGGCTTTAGGCCCTCTGGAACCAGAGTTAATAAGGGTTTATAAGCCACCATGTGGGTGCTGGGAACTGAGCTCAGGTCCTCTGCAAAAGTAGTGCGCACTGTTAGCCTCTGAGCCATCTCTCCAGCTGCCTATTGGAAAATAATAGGCTCTTCGGTTAGAACACGGTTTCTGTGGGTGCTGTGCCCTGCAAGAAACCCACAATTAATAGGAGCACATCCAGAAGGCCTCGGGTGTTGGGGATTCCAGACATCGTCACATGGGAGGACAAAATAAGACTGAAAGTGAACCCAGAGAAGAGTGTTGGGGTGGGCAGCTGAAAGAAATCCTGGGGGAAAGTTAACCCAGAGAAGAGTGTTAGGGGACAGCTGAAACTGGGCGGTTGGGGGGGGGGGGGGCTCCCAGAGAAGAGTGTTGGGGTGGGCAGCTGAAAGAAATCCTTGGGGGGAGGGGGGGGTGGTTCCCAGGGAAGAGTGTTCATGTCCTTTGTGGCTTTGTGAGACAGAACAAGACCAAAAAGAACAGAGGCAGTTGGCATATCTGCTATCACAGTGTTCGTGGAAGCATCTGGTTGTCCGGCTGCCATGCTGCTTTGAGGCTGCTCTTCTCCCGCCGACAGTGGCCGCTCTGTTCTCCTCTCCCTCCCTTTGGTTCTGCTACTGTGTTTGAACTGTGGTTTTGTTGTGTTTTGTTTCCCTTTTTACCTAGGCATATTGGTTGCCAAGCTCCAGTCTGAAGAACCAAATGAACCTACCACAAAAGAAGAACTTGGCAGAAAGAGAGAAGAGAGAGGGTTGTGATTCCTGGCACAGACTTTGGTTCCCCTGCAGCTCTGGGGCTTGGAAGAAGCACACAACCATCCTCCAAGTGGGGCTCCCTGTTCTACCCAACCCTGTGCACCCCAGAGATGAGCTCCTTGGAAAACTGGAAGAAGTCTTAACACTGTTTCTTTTCAGAAGTTATGTTTTGCTATTTACATTTCTCAATGTAGGAAACTCAGTTGAAGGCAGCCGGGGTTTATACAAACCATTGAGTAGAAAGTGGTGTTGGGATGAGCAGGTCAGGGGAAGGGGAGGGGAGGCTGGCCGTTTAGCTGGCGCCAAAGGCAGCCTTGATGTCTTCTCTGTGAACCTGGAGGAGGGCCCGGGAGCCAGAGAAGCAGAGAAGAATGAGATTGATAGCGTCGGAAGATTCTTGTCTCCAGCTTCAGGAGGAGAGGAGAGAAGGGGTGGTGGGTGAAAGGGAAACTGGCTGTCCTGTTGGCTGGTGGAGTGGTGACCCCCACTCCTTTCCTTTGAAGGTTTACAAACCTGATTTCAGAATCGCCTCTCGTGGAATCGGTGTTCATTTTGTTGTGCTAAATTCCTTAAACTCAGAGACCTGAGGCAAACCCCCTCCATCCTCACCCCTTCCCCTCAGTAACTGCATTTCACTTTGGTTATAACAACACTCCTGTTGCTTCCGCCAGCTGTCAAGGCAGTGGTGGTTCTTGTCACCTGGGCTGTTCAGAGCTCCAGTCCTAGGCTGCTGAGGTCAGTGGAGCATGCTTCCAGGTTCTTCATGGCCAAGCATGCCTGCAGCTGAGGAGCCGGTGTCATCCCACCTGTCAGCTAGCGAGAGGAAATGTGGAGGAAGTGAGAAACAGCTGTTGTGTCTCTAAAGGAGCCTTCATGTCTCAGCCTTAATGGAGAGAGAGCATCGAGTCTCACAATCATAGATTTATCACCATCGACCCACCTCTGGGATGGGAGGTGGCAAGGGCTTCCTCATTTTCCCACGTTCATTCTTGCAACACGACCATTTCCTGACCCCATTGCCCTTCCTTTACTGGGAAGTCTGTCAGATGCTAGTTTGAAAGTTGCCTGTTTTCCAGAGGGCTGTGAAGGAGGAAAGAACTTCAGTGCTTGAGCTGTCTCTGTGTCTGAAGCTGGCCATGGCCAGTCATAGGCTACATAACTTTGCTCTCCTAAAGAGTTCCTCTGGGAGAAGTAACTGTCAAGATGGATGGTGGAGCTGTTGGGTCTTCCTTACTCTCCTGTAGTGTCCATATGACAGCCTTTTGAGTTCTCTCTGCTTGTATCTGCCTTATATAACAAACTAAACATCAGCTTTGGAGTTATGGATGGTTTAGGGTGAAGCCCTGTGGGCTCCCTCTGCATGGAGTCAGTCACCTTCTTCCTCCTTTAGCTAACCAGAAAGGAAATGTGCTTCCTTAGAAGACTGTAAAGAAATGAAGTGTGTACGTGTTTTCTAGCCCACTTGTGACAGGTCTCCTGGTACTTTTTTCCTCCTTGACGTCATATTACCAACAGCATGAGGTCATGAGTCAGAGACTGGCACACCTGTAAGTTCTGCCTCTGGAGGGTTAGGTCACGCACCATCATACGGACAGAAAGGGCCACTCTGCAATGGAGCCCCACATCTAGAATCCACAGAGATCTTCAAGTGGTTAATATGTAGTTTGGAGGGATTCTGCCTCCAATTTCAGCCACTCATACTTTAAAAAGTAGTTTTCATGCTGTGTTTGCATGGCTCTGAGCTAGGTAGTGTGGAAGGACATATGAGGTAGAAGACAAGACCCCTTCCCTGAGGGAACCGCAAAGTGACTGTCGCATAGGAAGGGATTGGAGAGCCACTCATGGCAGCAGAAGGCCAAGGACCATCTTGAAAGACAGAGTGGGCGTCATCAGGGCAGACCAAATGCTCTGGGAAGGCTCTGGTGATGGGGCTTTGGATTGTAGGCGAGGGCAGTGTAACAGAGCACTCAAACCAACGTACAGAAGGAGAAGTCTTTGTGTGGCAAGTACTTGACTGCAAAGGTCTAGACTGAAACCTCCCAGTAGTTCATCAGGTCTGAAGGCTAAGGAGGTGTGAGGGGGTGGTGGAGGGCAAAACCAGAAGTCGGCAGACACCTTTGTGGTACCAGTGGAGAATTTATACTCAGGTGCAAACCAGACCTGCTGCGGAGCATGGGCAGCCTCACCCTTGTCCTGGGGAAGCATGTTGCACGGTAGACATGATCTGCATGTATCTCACACACAGCCCAACTGGTCTGACCCTTCCTTGGCAGAGCGGGCTGCAAAACAGAGCACTGTGGGAGACAGCTCAGTGAGGCAGGCCTTGGCACCCGGGAGACCTTGTGTAGAAGGGAATGTTCGGGGAGAGCAGTTGAGGCAGTTGCCTGGACTGCAGGCTGGCTGGAGAAGGGGCAGGAGCAAGGCCAGAAGTCCGCATTGGCCTTCGCCCTTTGCCCATGCTGGACAGTGCTAGTGGAAATGCAGTCCACGGAAGGGACTCACTTGTCTTTGGTCACAAACCAGGAAAGGCCATCACCTCTAGAGACCTGCTGTGAATTTCTGAGTTGTGGTTGGGAGAGTCACTGTTCCTTCCCAGCCCCGGCCTATGTAACCTTCCCTTGTTTATAACTGATCTATTGTAACCTTCCTCAAGACGGGTATGTGCCAGTGTAAGCTAGTGACGACTACTGCTGCAACCTAGATTTACTTGAAATGCATGTCTGTGTGGGAGCATAGGCATGCGGGGGGAGAGCAGGGGCTTGGCTCGGGGGCCAGCTGTCCTGATTTGACGTTTAGGCTGATGCCAGGGTGAAGTAAATGTAGATGGCAGTGCCAGCCTCTGGAAAAAGCTTGGAAGTGACCGCTAGTTCCTGTTTCTCTTTTCCCACTGTCACTTAGGCTAAGCTGTTGTTTGAGGCCAAGCAGGGAGTAGTGATGGGATGTCGACACATTCCCCTCTGATGCGCATCCCATAAGGACTGGGGAATGGTTGTCTAGCTCCAGGAAGGACCCCAGGGAGCCACCACCCTTTCAGCCTTTCCCCGTGCTCCTAGAAGGGCATGG